ACCTCCAATCATTTTCTCCTCTTCTCTTGGTGTCATCCAGCCATCTATTAAGATCTCCAGTGTCCCTTTGTGGCAACTGGGGATCTTTGATCTGAGGGGTCCCTGCCTTCCCCAGGCTCCAGCTGCAAAGCTGACACCATGCATGGGTCATCTGAAACCTTTCCTGAAGAAACAGGCACACAGTGGCTGGACGCAGAGCCAGGCTACCCTGAGCTCAACTGAGAAGTAATGGAAGTGAACACCTAATACCTTTGGTTTCCATTCTTCCTCCATCCGGTACTTCCCAACCAGGCATCCCCACCTGAACTTTCAGCATCCCTGTCCCAAGGTACTTATGCTCTCTCCCTCCCTGTTGCTAGCATGATCTTCTTTCAGGAATAATCCTGATGAATTTGTTCGCACAGATGATGAAATGACTCACAACAGCTTCAAGTGCAATGAATGCCTCTTTTCAGTGTTTGCATTTCAAAGGGAGTCAAACCTTAAATCAGAAAGGAAAAAAAAAGCTCCAATGGTGCAATTTTAGTTATTAAAGAGAAAGCGGCAAAAGGTTTTTGAGGAGAGACTGAATTATTTCTTTTGCATTGAGATCGCAAGTTGATCTGGTAGAAATTAGCTGTGTTTGTCAGTTTCACTCTCTGGGCTACAGTTTCCTTGTCTCTAAAGCCAGGGTTGAGCACCTGCTCGCCCAGGCCTCTCCTGGATCTGATAACCTGGGGACTTTGCAGGGGACTGGCCATACAATGATGGGAGCAGAAATACCGTAATTATTGCCACAACTCACTGGTAGGAGCAGGACAGACTGACGTCATACAGACCATGTCTGCTGTGAGAACCAGACAGCATCTACCTGGCCTCTGCCTCCCCAGCAGCAGCTGAGACTCCTCTCATTCCCCACTCGCCACAAGCCAGGAAGGTGCCACTGGTCATCAGGACAAAGCCAGATAGCCGGACACCATGGAGGACACAGCTCCAGGTGTCCCCAGAATCTAGGCTGTTTGTGCAGAAGCCAGCAGACCTGCTTTAGCTCAAGCTGGGGCAAACTGCCACTCCTGAGCCCAGTTTTGTCATCTGTTAAATGGGGGTGATACGGTCTCCCTCCCCACTTCCCAGGCAGGATGAGCAGCTCTAAGGCCGTGAGGTGCTTTGCAAAATCTCACAGGACACAGCGCCTCTGGCAGTGTTTCCGGGGGCTGTGGAAAAGCAGAACCCACCCGGACAAGATGTTTCTGCCAGGCTGGGGGAGCAGTGCTGGAGGCTGCCAGGGGTGCCCAAGCAGCCACTAGACAGGGGCCAGAAGTGGGGGTGGGGTATAGGTCTGATCTGTTCTGCTCCGCTGACTTAGCGCACAGAGCACCACGGCCAAGGCCAGTGGGAAGTCTGATGGGGGTTCCTGCCCAGCGGGCCCCAGCGAGTCCGCAGGAGCTCAGCAGACTGCAGCGGCCATCTGTAGGTCCTGGGAGGGGGCTTTTGCCCTCAGAGAACCCTCCAGGCCCTATTTTTGGTCCAGCCGCCCAACAATTCCCCCTTCAGGCTCCCATCAGCATAATGAGTCTGGTGTCCAAGTCTCATTAATGACCCTTGTCCAAGCTGGATAATGAGATCTGGTGAGGAGCCAGCTCCTAGGCTAGCTCTGGGTGCTAGGAAGTTTTTCCTGACAGTTGAGCTGAATCATCTTAGTGTAACGTGTCTTCCCCCTGTCCAAGTTCTGCTCCCTGGGGCCCCAGGGACCAAGGATAGGTCCCCGGAATCATCCCCCTCCCCCCACCTGTGTCCCGCCAGACTAGCCAGGGGCTCTTCAAGGAAAGGGTTCTAGGCTCATCTCACTGACGGTCTGCTTTCATCTGCCCAGTAATTGTCCTCAGGAATACAAGCCAGGGCCTCCTTCATCCTACATGTATGCACTTGACTTTTTGGACCAAACTTTAGGACTTTGCATTTCACTTACATTTACATGTCATGTTCTTGTCTTCGATCTGTATGTTGAGATAGCCTTAAACTTGAGTCTTTTGCCATGTGGGTGTTGTGGTCCTTATCCAGAGATTTGATAAGGATGCCTTTTATTTTCCTTCTACATTACTTAACGTCAGGTCCAAGTGGGAGCCCGAAGGACCTCTATGTTGCACTGAAGGCTTTAATGAAAGCCCCGTCATCAGTCCTCCAGCCTCTTTCTACATCTTTCCGTCAGTTTCCAGGGCTCTCACCAAAGATCTTTGCTGTGTCCTGCCGAAATCCCGTAATTCATCTTTGTTCCAGTCTGCAAGAAGAAATTTGGTGGTCTTGGTCCAATTTGCTTTTTTTTTTTTTTTAACGTTTATTTATTTTTGAGAGAGAGAGAGCAGGGGAGGTGCAGACAGGGGGAGACACAGAATCGAAAGCAGGCTCTGGGCTCCAAGCTGTCAGCACAGAGCCCGACACGGGGCTCGAACCCTCAGACCGTGAGATCATGACCTGAGCCCAGGTTGGATGCTCAGCCGTGAGCCACGCAGGTCCCCCCACGGTCCAATTTGCTTTTAATGAATACTAATACCGGCTCCTCACGAGCACTACATTATTTTCCTTCTTCTTGTAAACAATGTTTTGTTTTCATTAAAAAAATGATGTGCTTTTTTTCAAACAGTCCTGAGCACTACCAGAGCAGAGAGTGAACGTCACTGAAATCTCACACGAGATAACCCCCGCGGCCGATGTGTCTGTGACGCCTCTTGCTGCACCCCTGCGGCCCGAAGGTCGAGCCGTGGTGGATTGTTCCTTGCACTCCCTGCACACCACCAAGCCTGCACCCGAGGGTGTCTCTGCTCTGTTTTCCTTGAGGCCAAGAACAGGAACCTTCTAGGTGTGCAGGAGGAGAAACAACGCGAGGGGCAAACAGCGGCAGCTTCCCATCTCACGTGGGGCAAACCTGGGTTGCCCTCTGCACGTTCTTCTGAGGGTCCCGATAGGGACAGAGCCCTCAGGTGCCCACAGCTACACCCAGCTCGTTCGTGCACCCATTTCTTGTCTTTTCTCCTTCTCCCGTCCTGCTCTCTTGACTTCCGCTCTCAGGCATCAAACAGACTCCCTGTTCCGGAGCCCTTGTCTTAGGGTGCACTTTCAGAAGCAGGGGAGTCCAAGCGAGGATGTTAATGACCATCTCCTTGCATGTATTTTACATATATCTCCAATAATAAGCCCATGGAATTTTGCACAAAGGGGATCATACTCTACAAGTGTTCTAAAACCTGCTTTTATAAAATTACTCACAGTGGGCAGGGAACATATTTTCATTCCTGTGAACACAATCCTAAATGTGATTCTTAATGCCTACCTACTATGCCATTGCAGCTGTGTTTCATCATTTAATTTACCTAATTATGGACACCGAAATGCTTTCCAGTTTTGCCCTGCGGTGAAAATGCTCATGCATGTACCTTTGCAAATACAGGATGGCATCGTTTGAAAAAAATCCTGAGATGTTCAATTGCTTTATTGTCTCCTAAGTTTTCACTACGTGTGTGGTCATCTATTTTAGAATTTTAATAGAGGCCAATATTAAGCTTAGCAGGTTAGAGATTTCTTTTCCTTTTTTTTTTTTAAATCAATCTACCTTTACTTCCCTTTTGAAAATCAGGACTTTTGCCTACCTTCATTTTTCTAGTGTTTCTTTCATTCTTTACAATTTCCTTTATGGCAATGATTACATCTGCCTCCACGTCCCTGGGATGTCATTTGTCTGGGCTTTGGTGCCTTCTTCCTATCGCCTATTCTTGGGCTTCAGTTTCCTCCTTATGCTCTTTATTCTGTCATTTGGAGTAAAATTGCCTGTGCCCTGCTCCACCTGCCCTCCCTTGGGTGTTAAGCTTGCACCACATACCTCAAGCCCCGAGCCAAATTCCTTCTTGTTCTCCTTACTTAGACTTCGAAAGCTCTTTGCTCTGCCTTTGTTAATTTCCCCTGGCTTCTCTTCTCTCGGCCTTTGGTGTCTTGCTAACGCTGTTCTTACAGATTCTGCCAATCTTCCAGATTCATCTTGGGTAATGCATTCTCCCTTGCATCTGTGTGTGTGTGTGTGTGTGTGTGTGTGTGTGTGTGTACTTTTCAAATCCTACAAGTGCGGCCGCCAAGACATTCTGTGAAACTCTCTTTTCCTTCTCGCTGGCAGTGCAATTATTTCCTTGGAATTTCAAGGTTTTATGATCTCTCGAAGCAGCCTCTCTTCCTGGTATGAATTTGTTCAACACATCTTGTCTTATTTTACCCTCACAGCCACCCTGTGAAGCCAGCCTCATGTAAGTTTCTCCATTTAACAGATGGGTAACCAGTGGCACAGAGAGGTTTAGGCACCACCCCAAAGATACCCAGCAAACCAGTCAACCAGCCCTCAGTCCTCTAGGCTCTTAGCATAAATATGGTTTCCCTTGCCCACCATGGAGGAGATGGGGCTCTGGATCCCCCCTCCCCCCGCCACTTGGTAAGGTTGGAGCACGCAGCCTTATGCCAGGGACTTATGCAGGTCAGGTCCATAAACCCACCTTTCCTCCAGGGAGAAAAATTCTCTCTGCATGGAAGAAGCCTTGTCTAGAATTCCATTACCACCGTGCCCCCCGCCCCCACCCCGCTACTCCCACTCCTTCTAGCAAGCAAAGTCAGTGGGTGACAATTCCAATGAGGTCAATAGCTGAGCTCACCTGGTTTCCAATGACCCCCTGCCCAGGCAGGCGGCAGTGCATGCACCCACGGACATAGAGGCACCGGGTCTCTTTCTCCCTCCCTGTCTCTCTGTCTCTGTCTTTGGCACCCACATACACGCACACAGTACAGAGCACTCTAGGTCTTTCTCTCTCCCTCTCTCAGGGTCTCTCTGTCGCTGTCACACACACATTGTCACAGAGCCTGGCTCTGGACAGCTCTCAGCGATCAGATACCTCAGCCCCTTTGCTCTTGGCTTATTGCTCCTGAGTCAGTACCGGACCCAATCCCACTTGCAGCCCACCCTCAGCCCCAGCTCTGGGCTCACTCACCCTCCATGCTGCCCACTCCTGCAGGCTCTGAGGAAGGGCACAGCGGGCCCCTCCGACCTGGCAGGGCAGGGAGGAAGTCTCCGGGGGCGCTGGGTTGGCCTGCCCGCGCCCCTACCTCTGAGCTCAGCGGATCGAGTCCGGGGCCGGGAGGAAGCGGACAGGGGGCGTGTGCCCGTAGGGCCCGGCCCTTCGCGGGGTCTCGCTCCACCTCAGCACCCAGAGTGAGCCCGACAGCGGTGGTGGGGCTCCCGCGCAGCGCTGCTGCCTGCCCGGCTCTGCAGCGGTCGCCCGCTGCCCCTCGCTTCTCCTGGCTGGAGCGAGAGAGGGGGCTCGCGCGCGAGGCGCCGTCGCCATGGAAACCGGCACGCCTGTGTCCGCCGCAGCGCCCCCTGCCCGCTGTGCCCCGGGCCCGCCTCCTGGATGAGGCTCTCTAGGCAGGGACCGAGCGCCCCTCCAAAGTAGGGGACACTCCCTACTGCCCACTGCAGCTCTGGCAGCGACGGCCACTAACTCCGTACCTCTCTCCCGGTGCCGCACACCCCGGCTCCTGTCCCCGCTCCTCCTCCTCATCCCACCCCAGCGTGACCCCTAGCCACTCACGCTGGTGTCCGAGACCTTGGGCCCCTCCTGAGAAGGGAATGAGAGGCAGCTGTGAATACACAGGAGCGCCAAAGGAGGGAGGTGGGGGCTCCCCATCAGCTCTGAGCTCTGCAAGGAGAGTGGGGACAATGTGTCCCCTGGGTGACCGCTGACTTTGGAATCAGCGCGCCCAGGCGCTCACCACTTTTCCCCTTGGGCAATTTCTAAGACTGCACCCTAGTCTCAATTTCTGCGTTTGTGAAATGGTTTCGAGGCGAATAAATGACACATCCAAGTTTCTGCCCAGCACATAGTAGATGTTCAATAAATGGCCCTTTGAGCAGGACGGGAGCTCCCTCCCATTATTCCAGCCCCCATTAAGCCCCCAACAGTCACCTCCATAGACTTTTGTCACATGAACGAAGATCCTAGTTTCCAGGCAGGTGAGAGTGAATGGCCTCTTCCTTCCTTTATTGGGGGTGGGGTTCATATCCAGGGTTTTGAGCAAAGGATTGGAATCCAGCTGTCTCCTAGTGTCCCTCCACCTCCTCCTATGCCCTGAGTGGCCATCAGAGTCTCAGAGCTGGAAGGCTTAGAGGCCACTGGGTCTAACCCCGCCCTGGGGCAGGTGTCTGGATCCCAGTGGGCAGCAGTGGGTACTTCTGCCTCAAATCACCCTCTCTTTGTCCAGGATGGCCCTTAGAAAAAAGGAGGGATGGAGAGTGCTCTCTCGAGTCAGCCCTGCTGCGGGAGAAACATCTGATTTTCTCTGGGCTTTTGTTTTTCTGTGGCTTGCCTCAGGCTTATCTGTAAAATGGGACTAATAGTACGCATCTCCTAGAGCAGTGTTAAAGATGAATGGAGTTACTCTTTTTTAATTTTTTTTAATGTTTTGTTATTTTTGAGAGAGAGAGAGAGAGAGAGCAGGGGAGGGGCAGAGAGACAGGGAGACACTGAATCCGAAGCAGGCTCCCGGCTCTGAGCCATCAGCACAGAACCCGACGCGGGGCTCGAGCCCACGAACTGTGAGATCATGACCTGAGCTGAAGTCAGACGCTTAACCGACTGAGCCACCCAGGCGCCCCTGGAATTACTCTTTATGACGCACTTGGAGTAGTGCCTGGCACACAGTGAGGGCTCCATAAATCTTAGTTATTTTACCAGCTGGAGTCCACCTTCCAAGGGAAGTGCGCGCCGTTCTTGGAGTCCCTCTGACTGTGACATGTCCTATCAAGCCCCCTTGATCAATGTGGAGTCGAGGGCACTGCCGTTTATTGTAGGTGTGACTTGTAGGTGTAGGAAAGTTATATAACTGCTCTGTGCCTCAGTTTCCCCTGATCTACAAAATAGGGATAATAATAGTACCCACCCTATAGTCAAGCACTTACGACAGTGCCTAGCACCTAGTAAGTGCTCAATAAATACGAACTGCATTGATTTGGGCACTAGGCTTTGACTAATCCAATCCCATTTTTTCTCTCCCCTCACCCTTCTTTCCCTTTTTCCCTGCCTTTCACCTTTCCTCAGCGGCCACATCCTTCTAGGGCATTCACGTAGGCTTGTGGCCAAGTTCCCACACTCCCCATCTTTTCTATTGGACTAGTTGTGGATCGCAAAGCCTCTTTTTCTTCCTTCTGCCTCCTGTTCTGCAGACTGCCTTCTTCCACCTTTGCACGAGGCCAAAGTACACGGACACACCCAAGCACCACCCACAATGATCTCAGTGGGTCCAGCCTCTGAGGGGCGGGAGGGCATTGCCGTGGATAGAAAGACCTGCGTGTGAACTCTTCCTCTATTACCTGTGTGACCCAGGGCGGGTCACTTAAGCCCTCTAACCTCCTTTTCCCCATCTGTACAACGAGATTTATGATCTTCTTGTCGAGGTTGCTGTGAGGATTAGAGGTCAAGTGTCCATCATACTGTGCCCTTCCTTATCACCAAAGCTCTGGGTAGAAGCCAAACAGATGGACTGGGTAAAGATCTTTCCATGCAGATTTTTAAAAAAGTATCCCCTTTCATTCCCCTCCTTACCTCAACGGCGCTCCCAGAAAACCTGAGGGACCTCAATGTTCTAGCTTAGACCAGACCTTCCTCCCAGGTCCACCTGAAGGCAGGGGTGAGGTGCTTCCCAATCCTGAACTTTGGATCCGGAGCCCTTCATTCACTCAAGGCACCATTGCTTCTATTTTGCAGGGAAAGCCACTGCATTAGCCAATGCCTTACCCCGTACCATGCAGCTGGACATTGGCTGACAGAGGAGGAACCCTTTTCTGGACTCCTGGGGCATTGGCCCTGCGCCCCCCCCCCCCCCCCCGCTCCCGGCCTGCCCTCAAGGGTCTTGGCCCCCTGACAGCATCTGAGATACTATGGGTGTAACCATCCAGGGCACAAAAGCAGTCTCTGTCCGTCTTGAGGGGGGTCTGCCCTCTCCTCATGCCCTTCAGGGCTTTCCTCTCCGCCCGTTCTGGCCAAGCTCTTGGCCTGGCCCCTCATCCTCAGGGGGTCGCTCTGCATCCCAACCCACCCCTGCCAGCTGCAGCGCAGGGACTGCAGGGACTCTTTTCACGGAAAGCTCCACTGTCCTGGACACCGAGTTCCATCTGAAGAGCTGGGTACCAGGAGGTGGCATGAGGGCAGTGGGACTGAGAAGGCCCTTGACAGATGGGGACACCGGCTTGGAGAAGAGTCTAAAGGGAGAAAGGGAGGTGCTAGAGGGAGATTTTCTTAGAATCAAGCTTTCTTGGGGGGGCAGTGAGGGAGGCCATAGTGGCTAATAAAGTGCCTGAAGGACTGCCTTTCTCCTTGGAAGTTTATTTCTTTATTTTTCAAGTTTATTTGAGAGAGAGAGAGAGAGAGAGAGAGAACAAGCGCTCACACGCAAGTGGGGGAGGGGGATGGAGAGAGAGAGGAAGACTCTTAAGCAGGCTCTTCTCTCTGCACAGAGCCCAATACAGGGCTCAATCCCACAACCTTGGGATCACGGCCAGCGCCCAAATCGAGTTGGATGCTCAACTGACTGAGCCCCCCAGGCGCCCCACTCCTTGGAGGTTTGAGGTCCTGGTCACAGGCGTAGGGCGGGTGCGGATGGAATGCACAGGCCCAGCAGGGTCGGACGTGTGCTTTGAGATGCCTGCAGAGCTGGTAGGAGCCTGAGGAAAGGCTGGCATGAAGCCACCAGTGTCCTGTAGGAATCCTCCCCGGCGGTGGGAAAGCCAGGCATCTCCGATGGGAGACTCAGTCTCTCTTTCCCAGCCTGGAAATGAAAATGCACTTGGCCTGTGGTGCAAGGAAAGCCGATGGCATAGCCATCATTGTGAAAGGGTTCAAAGCCACAAGGGAGGGGGAGGGGTCTCAGCCAGGTGGCAATACGGTCCCTGGGAAGCAGACCCCAGCACGATGCTGGGGTTTTCAGCATCGATTTGGTGGTAGAGGAGGGGGCCAGGGGAGAAGGGACTGTGCCCTTGAAGGGTGAGGCCAGGGGAGCTGCAGAGAGGCTGGGGTCTGGATGGAGGTGGGGGCCCTTTCTAGGAGCCCCAGAGGTGCCCCTCCCTGTCCCCAGCCAGCCTGGTGGGGGCAGAGCACTTCCTTCAGAAAGCTTTCAAACGCTGATTAGTGAGCACTCCCTAAGGAAGGAGGCCAGAGCTGTTAGCTGCATTATAAATGACAAGTGGGGGCTCTAATGGCTGACTCACTTCTACAGCTCAGCTAAAGCAACAGCCATGGAGGAGAGGCTAAGCTGACAAGCTCCCGAACACGGGGACCCAGCGAGGGCCCCAGAAAGAACCCTAGGCCGGAGCCAGGAAACCTGTGCATCTGTTAGGGCTCTGTCCCCAGCTCCCTGCACGGTCTTGGGCGGGTCTCCCCACACGCCGTTTGGAACCCTCCCTCTGAAACTCAGTGTTCCCATCCAGATAATGGGAGAGGCTGGGGCGCCTGGGTGGCTAGTCTTGATTCTGGCTTAGGTCATGATTTCCCTGTTGGTGAGATCAAGTCCCTCATTAGGCTCTGCGCTGAGCCTGCTTGGGATTCTCTCTCTCCCTTTCTCTCTGCCCCTCTCTCTCTCAAAAATAAATAATATATACATACATACATACAAACAAATGAAATGGGAGAGTTTGGACCAGAAGAACTTTCGTGCTCTGATAGTTACCTTCCTTGGAGAACCCAGGGTAAGAAGTCTCTCCTTGGAGAGGGGGCTGGGCAGCGCACCGAGGAATTCCAGCCCTGTGGCTGGGGCCCTGCACCCTGGGCGGTGGCGGTGCAGGCTTCTGGCCCAAAGTGGAGTTCAGGACAAGCTCCACAGTGTCAGGAAGAAGGGGTGTTTGGGAAAGGTGTTGAAGCTTCTGGGGAAGGTGGGCAGCTTTCTGAAGCCCGCCTGGGGGCCTCCTCTGGATTGGGGGGGGGTGTACTTTTGTAAACCATTTCCTGGGCCCTGGATGACGCTTCTAAGAAACATGGACTCTGCTCAAAAGGCTTGGGTTTGAATGCCAGTTATTTGGTCTGCCCGTGGCCAGGTTCCCGGTCTCCTCCAGTCCTCAGTGTCTTCCTCTAGAAAACAGAAATACGAAAAGTAGCTATCTCCCATGCTGTGGTCGGGATTAAGTGGGAAAAGAAATGGAGAGCACTCGGCATAGTCACAGACACATGGTAAGCTGTTAGTGTATATTTTTATTTTACTGCGTTTTTTTTTTTTTTTGTTTTTTACTGCTTTTACCTC